GTGTGTATATATATATATATATAATATATGTGCGTGTGTGCGCGCGCGTGTGTGTGTATGCGTGCATTCGTGTGTGTGTGTGTATACATACATGTGTGTATATAAAATATATGTATATTATATATGCATGTATACGTGTGTATATATATATATATATATATATATATGCATATTTGCATGTGTATATGCATGTTATATATATTATATATTTACATGCATGTATACGTTTACGGTTTATATGTATACATTTGTGTATGTGTGTATATATAGATATATTTATGTATATGTGAATATATACGTGTATGCGTGTATATATGTGCATATAATATATATGGGTGTGTATGTATATGTAAAGAAAGATATTATGTGTATGTATGTGCGTGAGCATGTGTGTGCGGGCATATATGTGCGCATGTGTGTATATGCATATATGTGTGCATGCGTCTATGTGCATATATGTGTGCATGTGTATGTGTATATTGCAGAATATAAGACTAAGAAGGGGGGGTTTGTTTTATCTATTATGGTAATGCTTTGGAAGCACCGGTTCCAATTCAATAAAGGAATTTTAAAAATAAAATATAAAATTTTTTAAATATAAATTTTTTAATTTAATTTTCAGTATCTTTTCGTGGTGGACACCTCATGTCAAAAGTTCAGAAAATTGCATCAGCAATATGAGTTCAGGCAAAGAAAAAAGAAATGTACGAAAATAAAGTTTATTCACACTGCAAATATAATCAATATCGTAAGTAAAATAATTTTATTCTATTGAATATTATAACAATTCAAAAAATCTAATATATATAATCTTGCTATGTAGCTCAATGAATTTAGAAAATATATTTATAAAGTATAGTGATTAACGAAAAAAAAGTGACCCATATAGCCTCATCTATGACCACTATTCATGCCAAAAATGGTGGTTTGATAAACAGCAAGAAAAAGTTAGTTTGTTTTTTATTAATTCTACAAAATAATATACATTAAATAAATTAGTGGGTCATAAGGAGCTTTAAAAATACAGTTGAAATTTAGAAGTTTAAAAAAAAAATCTACGACAGTAAAAAAAATTAGGTCCCCACCACCACTTCTTTCACTATTGTGAACTCTTGTTGAAAATGACAGTAACAACACACACACATACAAACACAGAGAGAGAGAGAGAGAGAGAGAAAGAGAGAGAGAGATTGAGTGAGAGAGAGAGAGAGAAGAGAGAGAGAAAGTAAAAATTAAGAAAGAAATTTTCTGGGTTTTAAAATGTTTGTTTTGGAAACTCACCTGACCGAACACTGGCACGTATCACAGTTAACATAAGCGGCAATCGCTTGGTGGCTCCCAACAAGTCCCCAAATTACTAGCAACCAGGTAAAACCGACGCAGGCAAGCGAAGTGGTCGCACTGGGTTGGCCGATCGCGTCTTCCATGGTATTGTTAAAGTAGTCCCATCCGTTAGAAGTGTCCACTCGTAGTTCTTATGTGATGGAAGTCCGCAGAGTTCCAGTTTGGAACGAAATGGAAAAGATAGTAAAAATTATAAACAAAATTTAAACGCTTGGTTTGTTTTTTGTTTATTTTTTTTAATAAATTAATCCTCTGCAAATAAAAAAATTGCAGCTTAAAAACCTGGGAAGATGCTTAAAAAAAAAAAAAAAAAAAAAAAAAAAAAAGAAGCCCTGCCACAATTTTTTTAAGTTTTCACTCAGTATTTCAAAATTTTTAAATCAACTGAATTTCTGTAAATACGTCCTCGTATGTGTAAGAAAAACATTGTTATCCGTGTTTTCTGGGCGATTTTTAAACAAACAACAGCGAAGAGTGCATTTATTTTCAAATACAATGCTTTTTTTTATTTAAAAAAAAAAATTAATTAATGTTATATTGTTAAAATAAAAAAAAAACTGTCACCGCTAGGATAATCAATCGTCAAAGTGAACAAGATTTGAAAATAAATTGTCAACAACTGAGGTTAGATTCACAATGTGTACATTCCGTATGTGTTGGTGTAACATAAAATCCAGACTTTAAAAGTGCGATCATATACAAAAGAAAAACAAAGTAAACTAAAAAAATCGCCGTAATTGTGTAGTCGATCGTGTTATTATGTCTGGGAAGTAAAAACTGTAACAACACAAATAGTGTTGCTCGACAGAAGTCATATGTACGTCTGAAACGATTTTTAACTTAGTTGAGAGGTATATACCGTCTTTTCCTATTTTGTTGTTCTTGTGTGGTTATCTTCCTCTTCCTTAGTGTGACCGACTCGAGCAGCAGCGGCAACGCTTACAGTGGCCAACCAAAATATCAGCAGCAGGCTTATACAAGGAAAAAAAAACAAACAACACACACAAACACACACACACATATGTATATATATATATATATATATATATATATATATATATATATAAATAAACGATAAACAACTGTTGTCAACCAATCCGGACATTTTAACCAATTGAACCGCCTTTCATTTAATCAAGTGACCAATAGTGAGAGC